CATTCAATATGATGGTATGAAAACAATACCAAGGCAAATATTAGGAAATACCCCTTTATTAATGAAAAATAGACACTATATAACTTTATTGCACTGGAAAAACTATGTTATGGACCTCCCTTTTTAAGTGGATTATCTCAGAGAAAGAATTAATATTTTTTTTATTCTTTTTATTTTAGTAATAATGTAATAGTAATAATGTAAAAATTCTATTTGTAGGAACAAAGAAAAGAGAAGCAGATCTATTCTATTCTATATCGATAAGTATCATTACTAATGGGGAGTTGCCCCCATTTTATATGAGCGAATTTATAGAGTTTTTGTTATCATTCAAAGGACCTATTCGTAATAATTTGTCTTTATTCGTTTTTTCTTCCTTTATTTTTTGTTTTATTTTTCTTCGTGAACGAATTTCATGATCTTTTGCCATGTTTTCTTCATTTTCTCCATTTTGTTGTTTCAAATCATCAATTAATTTATATGACCATGGAAGAACTTTTTTACTTATTTCTTTTATTCTAATAGAATTATTTCTAATTGTTATATTTATTGAATTCGCGATAACTATATCAAATAAAAATTTGAAATTTTTTATTAGATTTTCTAAATCCATTTTTTGGTTCTTTGTGATTTGGAAATAAAGAGAGTTCCTTCAAATTTAAACTCGATCTTAATTTTCCAACAAATTCATTAATTAAGTTTAAGGAATAAGCAATTTCTGTTGAAAATAATTTTATATCTATTTTTGGTTCGAATTTTTGATAATTAGAAATAAGAAGAAAAAGATGAATTTTATTTATCGAAACCATCATCTAATTTCCTAAAAAAATAATAATAAGTGAATAGACCTCTTTTTATAAAATTATGAAAAGAAAATAATTTTCAGGCTAAATTATATGGATATAGATTCTAGAAGCTAAAAAAGGGTATCTTGAGCAATTTCAATAATCAGGTTCATTGATATTTCTAGTATAGTAGATGCTATCACACATATAATCATACTCAATTCAATGGAATTGTTTGATCTTAAAGGGGATCTTCTATAATTTCGCACGTGAAAGGTTATTTCTTGGTTTCATCTAGTCATTATGATAGATAATAGTATATAAAAACAATTAGTCCAACAGCACCGTGGAGAGCAACAAAAGTCCACAAATCGCCTAATTGACACCAACGAGTAAATCCCCTTGTGCTTTGGGACCCCATAGTAATAACAAAGAATGCGCTAAACTATTAGCAGGAGTAGAAACTGCAGTGGTTAAGAAGTTACAACCTTCCAAATAGGAACTAGCCAATCCATGGGTAGGATTTGAACCAACGACATTGGGTTTTGGACTACCTAACTGAACTAAAAGCGATCTCTTATCATAGTCGCAAAAAATGCGACGGTAAGTAAAAAGATTCTTTTTTAAAATCTAATACATCTTGAATGCCTATACTATATACATCATATATAATACAATAAAAATTATAGTTATAGATTAGGTACTCCTAGGCTCCTAGCTAAGTGATAATAGAAACAAGCTGAGTTCTTCTTTCTTTTCTGATTACTTTCCTCGAGCAGAATTTTCTCAATTCCAATCGACTAAGCGTATTGTGTCGATTCTTATGAAGTAATATATATTGAAATGCTTGTTGATTTCTTATTAACACTATTTTGAACATAATTGGTATGTTCTAAAATAAGTCTTACCCGGACATCTTTACCCTTGGCCATGGACCTCCTTGGGATTTTTTATTCACTCAATTCTTCTATTTTCCAATCCGAAATAAAGAAGAAAAGAGCAAAAAAAAAAAAAATAGAAGTTGCTAACTCAAAATCAAATTATGAAAGATTTTAAGATATGCTTATTGGGCTCTATGCATTAACAAGCAAGAATCGTAGAGGTATTTGTGCAAATAGGTACAATCCATGTAATGGCAGACATTCTCAAAATGAAAAGAATTGATGATAATAACAATAAATAAAATCAAAGCATAAAGCATAAAACGTCAATAATAAAAGCATAAAAACACAAACACACAACGTAAGATAATTTACAGTAATGAAAGCAATGAATAACGAATTAATATATCACAAAAAGCATTATAATCTAAATTCAAACAATCATAGATGGCAGTTCAAGCCTTTGATGTTCTTTCTTTGAAAGATAAAACAAATATGACCATCACAACAACACCCATTAATTTATTGATTTGAATGGTTCTTTTAACTCATAAATATTATTTAGGCCATAAGGCTTGATGTTGAATCAAATGAACTAATAGAAATAGATTTAATCATAAAGAAGAAGATAAGCACACTTCTTAATAGAAACGTCATGCGTCCCACATAATGGCGTATACTATTTCTTAGGGCTGTGCCTATTTTTATAGAAGCACAAAAAAACCATGAAGAACTTAAAAGCTATTTGGATGAGAAGGAACGACATGTGACCCTAGAAGCAGTGCGCCATTATGCTAAATCGCACTTGGCGGTCCTAGATATTCTAATTATCTTGATAATTAATATTACCTGAATGGTTAGAATAATTGAAATTACTTTAATTTAATAATACAAAATTCTTAATTTTAAGTTATGATACAAATTAAAGTCCATGATATTGTAAAAAAAAAAAAAAAAAAAAAAAAAGTCCATGATATTGTAAAAAAAAAAAAAAAAAAAAAAATCAATATTGGAGCAAAAAAAAAAAAAAAAAAAAAAAATCAAATTGGAGCAAGGTTATGATACAGTGTATGATATATTTAAAGCTAAATTTTACAAGATATTTTGAGTTTATTTGGCAGTTGTAGACTTTTATTTTGTTTCCTTTTTATTTTAGTTTGGGCTTCCAATTTTGTTTAGATTTTAGATTCCTAATTAGGTTTAGATTTTTAATATAAGACCAATAGGTTTTATATTATGAGAATCATTGATCATCTTCTTCTTTTTATTTCTTAGCCGTATCTTTCTCTTTTGGATGTGCTTCTCAAACATGACTGGCTAAACGCTAACATATAAATAACTTGGTTATGGTTTTCAATAAATAAATTAGCAGCATATACTAATTCGATAATCGATAATCATGGCAAGCTCCATCAAAGATGCAACTCAATGACAATAGTTTATATTAGTAATCAATATAATAGTTGCCTAATATTAACCCTAAATCCATCAATTTAAGAGTCAAATAGCTCACATAGTTGTAGAATAAAATATTCTTACACATATTGATGAAGTTTTCAATAAATATATATATATATATATATAATAATTCCATGAGAAAGGAATAATAAGAGAAGTCAGAAAACTACATAGACCAGTAAAATGCATATACATAGACATAAAACTATGGAAAAATAGCATGAAAAAAAATATATATTTTACCAAATAAATATCAATTTTTTTAAAAAAATTAAAACTTCAAATTCCACTTGAAACAAAACCCTAACCTGTTTTTGCTAGGATGAGATAATCTCAAAATCAAGTTACTGAACATAAATTGAGGAAAGCGTGGTGACGATAGCTATTAACTATGATGATGGTGAATAAATGGGTATGGAATTTGATAAGAGAGAAAAATGATAGAGAGAGGGTGAAGAGAGAAAAGGAGAAACGAAACTGTTGTCGGCTTATTGCTAGTGTTGAGTTTTAGGTTTAGATTTTTTTTTTCGTTCCATATAAATTGATAAAGTTTTAATAAATATTATTTTCGACTTGGTTTGGGTTGATTTTAGCAGTTTTGACCCCAAACTCATAAACCAAACCGTTGACTCTGTTTTTAAATTTTATAAATCAAACCAAACCATACATTATGATTTTTATCGATTTGGTTTAATTTGAATTGTTTGGTTTGATTTGGACAGTTTATGAAACCTTGTTAGTTTAGTAACATGAACTGCAAAATATTATTTTACTAATTATTTTATTTTAACTCATGAAGTTATTATGAATTTGCACGCTTAAAAGCTGATGTTGTGTATTTATAAATAGATACTCTCTCTGTACAAAAAATAGTCCCACTTCTTTTTTACTCAGGTTTAAAATAGATAATTAAGTTACTTCAACCATAAAATTAATTATTCTTTTTCCCTGTATAATTTTTGATAATTTAAACTTTGAAATTATTTATAGAGTTTGTTTTTCAATAAAAAATTAATATCCGAACACGTGAGCTAATTACCTTAATATTCATTATGTAGTGAGAGAAAATAGGGAGAATATGACTAAATTTTTGACTATTTAACTAAATATTTAGTAATTCTATGTATATTAATTATTGACCCAAATTATATCATAAGAGTATTACAGGAAAGTTAATAAAAAAGATCATTTCCATTTTTGAAAATGCGAGCATTATTTTGGGACACCGGTTATGGAAAGTGAGAGTTTTTTTTTTTAAACGAAGGTAGTAATTTTTTTTATATAAATATTACACTTCAAGAACAATTGGGATAAAATTATTTATATGATAGAAATAAATTGATCCCTAAATTAGTTAAATTAATGTATGAAAAGCTTTGTTTCAAAAACTAAATATGAAGTGTGTAAATTATTAATTTAATAACACTTGAAGTGTTAACAAAACTATAATTTAAGAACTTAATAGTTAGTTTAATTATAACTTACAGACCAATTTTTTTACCCTAGAACTTCACTTTATAAAAAGTTAATTTTCTCTTTTTTGTTCCATTAATTGACACTTAAATGAAGTTATTTTAGACAAAAGGATCAAATTGTTAACAGAATAACAATTTGGATACCTCATATTGGTTCTCGTGTATTAATTTAACTATATCTTAAGATCCAATTTATAGTTTTCATGATTTATAAATTAGTATTAGTCCCATAGGGATGCATTAATATATTTTTGAAAATATAGGGTAAAGTAATTAATTTTACTAAATTAGAAGAATTAAATAGTAATTTACTTTAAGATTATCTGGTTTAATTTTCTTTTTTATTTTAATTTGGAAGGTTATCTTGAAATTAAATATAAACAAAAATAGTAAAATGCATTTTTGTTCATTTTTAGATCGATTAGAAGGACTCTTTCTCGCAAGATGTCTCTGTACGAACCCTAAAAGGAAGAAATATAGATGCAATTGATTTGGGGCTTCATCACTTTCCTCACTCTACCGCTGGTATTATCAAGCTTCAAGAGCCGATTCAACTGACTGTCATCGTCTTCAGTAGCTAACAGAAAAAGGGTTCCAAATCGGTAAGTGTTCTCTGTCTTAAAGTTCTGTTTTTAAATTGATCTGTTATAGCACTGTTAGAAAACAAAGATGGAAATGCAATTAACTGTAGGCAAGGAACAAATACAAAAAGGATTTCATACGGAAACCATAAACCCCCAACGGTCATTTGGAACTTTGATCAAACAGATATAAGATTTCTTATCAAAATCAATATTAAAATTATTAAATTAAATCATTCTCGATAATAGTTTCATGCACAAATTTATGCTTCAATTAATTAATATTAAATCAATATCTTGTTTGAGAGATTGATTAGTTGATGGGAAAGTGTTGCCGACAAGGAAACCAAGAAAATTCAAATTCAAATTCAAATTCAAATTCAAATTCAAATGCTCAAGAATTTTAGAATTCTAGTACTTTCAGATTTATATTTATGTGTCAGTCGTAATAAATAAGTCACTAACAGGAAGTTCTGCAATTTCATCTTTGTTGTACTAGTCTCCCAAGTTATTCATTTTAGAGTTCTTGTTGGTTTAGGATAATCATAATCCTTTTTAGTTTATTTTGGATTTCCAAATCCTTGAAGGATGAGGACTAATTTTGAAATCATATTAAGTAAAGGTTTAGCAGTAAGTAGTATCCTGTGAAGTAGAGATCAGAGTGGTTTGGGTCTATATGCTTGTAATTCTTTTTAATTAGGTTTTCAGTTACAATATTACAGCAGAAAATGTTTTATCTTTCAGTTGTCTCATGTAATTTTAACCCCGAATGAATCCTAAATCCTATTACTGTGACAGTATTATGCTACATTTTTTATTTTCATTTGCTTCAACTTTTTCATTAATTTTTTAAAGAAATTCAAGTTTTCCATATTAATTTTTAAGACGTAATTTTTGATTTCTATAAATCCTAGCCCTGATCCTAAAACTTCAACTTTTCCAAGCTGCCCTGCGGTAGAAAGGAACTTTACTTTCGTTGTTTCCATGAGATTAGAAGATTGTTCTGCCTTGGAGAAGTAAACGTGGTTGATTAATGGTTTCTGATTCCCTTAAGAAAAAAAAAAAGAAAGAAAGAAAAAAAAAAAAAAAATTCCCTTAAGAAAAAAAAAAAAGAAGAAAGAAAAAAAAAAAAAAAGACATTGGAGACTTGATTTATTTAAAAATATTAATTCCTTTTTGCATGGGCGCTTGATTGTATTGGTTGGTATGAATTAAAAGAAAGAAAGAAAAAAAAAAAAAAAAGGACATGGAGACTTGATTTATAAAATATTAATTCCTTTTTGCATGGCGCTTGAATTGTATTGGTTGGTATGAATAAGATTAACTTTCATAGATATGAATAATGTTTGATTTCATTAACAAAGTACTAGCTGTAATACAAAACTAATACCAACTTGAAAGGGTAAAGGAGATTCAAATTATTCAGGAATTACCAAAGAGGAATACGGGTCAATCCAACCACCAAAATCCTTCTGTTCTCTGTCAACCCTCTCTCTTCAGGTAGAAACCAACTCAAATCATTAGTTTGTCACTATAATTTGATCATTACATGCGAATTCTCTGTCGATATGTTTTGAGTTTTACTATTTAATTCATTAAATATTTCTTTTCCATTTGAAGCAGTTTGTCTTTTAGTCCATTCTCTGAAAATGGGTCTCTCTATATCTCTGCTGCTTTCTAATGAACCCATCATAAATGAGATTGTGAAATCATCAATTATTGATTGGTTAGTTGTGCTTGTTCCTGTTTCTATATCTTTGGTGGAGTCATTTCTTGCATTTTTATTGTTTGACCAGAACTCTAACTTTTCCATGGGAAATGTTAATTTCTTGCCTTTTTGTTTTTTCTTTTAGAATTCATTATAAATGAAAATTTAAGCAAAAGTGAAAATAGAGACGTATCTTGGTAGCATGGTAGCATTGTATGATCCCATTACAAAAGAGCAAGCATGAGAGTTAGTATAAATTATAAGTTAATTTTATATTAACTTCTTAGAATCAGTTGTTGATTTTTTATATTGAAGTGCATGCATATTCATTTTTTCGCCTACATAAGACAACTCTGATTTCTACTTTATACAAAAACTTTTAAGTATTTCATATAAAAGCTCCTGAGATTACAGATTAAAACTTCAAAACTCATTGGCAATAATGAAAGCACCTTTTTGTTAGAGTATTTTAAAGATTATATGTCAACAGAGTTTTTGGGGCTGCATATATTGTTGTGCTTTATGGATTCCTTGTAAAGAGCTACTTTTTGTATTGCTTTAATGGAAGCCTTCCTTTCTAGCTAAAATGGGAGTTTCAGCTTGGTATATTTCATTGAAGATAGTATATGGATAACATTTGTTGTCCTGTAAGGCTGATTTCTGTTGGATATTTAGTTTCATGCATGTATGATTTTGATAGAAATGCAAAGTCAAGTTTTACCAGATTTAGAGCGGCTCATTGAATAAATTAGCCCAACTGAGCAAAAGCCTAGTTTGGCCAATGCTTGGCTGTTTTACTAATCTAACCTTATTGAGTGGACTTTTCTGAGCCAAGATTTGAATTTGCTCAGAAAAAATTTATTTTATTCAGAACTCCAAAAATCAAATCACCAGTAAAAGTTTTAGGTTATTAATTTCTGAACTCTTCAAATATTAGCATTTTTGTTCTTTCTCAATCAAAAGCTGCAATGGGCTGGTTGATGAGGTGTAGCAGAACTTAAAATTTGCCTCATGTGGGGCTAAGCAAGTTGATTCCAAAGCTGGTACAACTTGAAAAGTTTATCAAATGAGCTTAAACTACGGATGTGCAAACTTTGGAAAAGACCGAGAAACTGATCTCAACAGACTGATTTCGGTTATTTGGATCGGTTTTTCGGTTTTTGGAATGGTTTTGGTTTTTTATTTGAAAAAATTTTGGTTTTTTGGTCTGGCTCAGTTTTGGCAAAAAATTTTCGGTTAATCAAGCCGAACCGCAAATTAAAAGTAAACACTGGGTTTTGATAAGTAGTTGGGTTTCTTTTTCCTCTCTGCCTTTTGCAATTCTTCTTTCACCTCAACTCTCCTTTTCGATTTTCTGGCCACTTTAGCCTTGTTAATTGGTCAATCACCCTCTTCTCACCACCATTGCTTGCCTCAGCCACCGATTCTGATCAGTTTAACAACCTCAGTAGCGAGTTTAGGAAGCGAGAGAAAGACACAGATCGTGAAGGTACTTGGTTCTCTATCGCCGACTGGAAATCCCTTCCTCTGAACCATTCTTGGTTTTTGGTGGGAAGTATTACGAATTCCTTTAGTTTATTTAAAGATTAAAAGCTTGGGTTATGAAATTGGATAGGTAGGATTCCTAATCTATGGTTCACTTTTTGTTGTTGTATTATACTATTGCTGTGGAGTTGACAACACGTTTTGGTACAGTAACATTCTATCATTATTCAGTTAGTTTGAATTTTTACAGGAAGAGATATAACATTTCATTAGCTTGTTTTCAATTGGATGAACAGTTGAGATGAATTACTATTGGAATGAATAGTTTAGTGTGAGAACAGAAGGAATGAACTACTGTTGGAAACTATTTTATAATATTTTATATTAATTGCCAATTTGTTATGTCAGCTTAAGTTTGTTTTGATGTATTCTTAAAACTCTTTGATTTTAATTGAACTTTTATTTTCTTTCTTTCTTTTGTAATGAAAACACACTGCAATTTCTTTCTTTCTTTTATTAATTTTGGATATTCTGTTAACCGAATCAAACAGAACCGGAATTTGCGTTTTGACAGTGTGCAGTTTCCACCATTAAACGGTTTGGATCTGTTAGCAATTTTATTAAATTTCAGTTTCTCGGTTTTCGGTTCCGAACCGCCCAAATGCACACCCCTAGCTTAAACAAGCCTTGAGTAAATCATTTTCTCCAAATTGTTCATGAATAGCTTTTTACCTGCCACCCTAATTTTGAAAATGCAGTTGCATTTTACCTAGTATAATCAGTGTTTATTGCAGACTTCAGCTTTCGTGTACAAATGGACACAGATTTGGATGGCACATGACATAATATTTGTTTCTTTTGTTATAAGCTAGGAAAGATTTTTCATCTATTATTTAATTTGAAATGTTGTGCAATAATTATACCTCATGGATTGCTTTGACTAAAAGAAAATGGGAGGATGTTTGAGGTCTTAAAATTGACTTGCTGTTCTTGATATGAATTCTAGATTATGTTTTCTGCATTTCTAAATGCATTTAGTTAGGTGTTGCAAGTTCTATTTTCATAGAGCTTGAATTGTGAAGTGCATTTCAAGCGTTTTCATCCAGTTAATTTGTGTTCTTGTGTGGTGTAACTTTCATCTTGTATTCCTTAGCACCTTACCCAGAAAAATATACTGTAACAAGATACGATGTCATCTATCCTTTATTAACATGCTTGTGCCTTAAATAACAATTTTCTCTAACTAAAGGACACTATCTTTTCCTTTCTAGCAAAATAGGAAGATATATTTTTCTCATATTTGATTTTTGACTCTCTTCTCTCACTGTCTCTCTCTCTCTCTCTCTCTCTCTCTCTCTCTCTCTCTCTTTCTGGTTTAGATTTTCCTAAATATGTCAGGCCAAGGCCAGCGCTTGAATGTGGTTCCAACTGTTACAATGCTTGCTGTTGTTAAAGCTCGCCTTGTTGGAGCTACAAGAGGTCATGCTCTTCTCAAGAAGAAGAGTGATGCTTTAACTGTGCAGTTCCGTCAAATTCTTAAGAAGATTGTCTCAACAAAAGAATCAATGGGAGAGATTATGAAAGCCTCTTCATTTGCTCTAACTGAAGCAAAGTACGTTGCTGGTGAAAACATCAAGCATGTTGTCCTTGAGAACGTCCAAAATGCCTCTCTTAAAGTTCGATCCCGACAAGAGAACATTGCTGGAGTGAAGCTTCCAAAGTTTGAATATTTCACTGAAGGTGAGACAAAGAATGACCTTACAGGATTGGCCAGAGGTGGCCAACAGGTGCAGGCCTGTCGTGCTGCTTATGTCAAATCTATCGAAGTTCTTGTTGAGCTTGCTTCCCTACAGACATCCTTTTTAACACTCGACGAGGCAATAAAGACAACGAATCGTAGGGTCAATGCTTTGGAAAACGTCGTGAAGCCAAGATTGGAAAATACAATAACTTACATTAAAGGGGAGTTAGATGAACTTGAAAGGGAAGATTTCTTCAGGTTAAAGAAGATTCAAGGGTATAAGAAGAGGGAAATAGAGAGACAGCTTGCTGCTGCTAAGCAGTTTGCTGAGGAGCAGTTTGCAGAGAAAGTTTCTTTGCAGAAAGGAGTTTCAATAAAAACAGCTCACAACTTGTTGTCTGCAGCTATGGAGAAGGATGAGGATATAATTTTCTAATATGGATATTAGTTAATTTGCTCTTCCTCATGATACGAGGCTTTTTGGCTATGTTGGCTTATGGAAGGGGGTTTCCCTATTTTCTAAGACTGGGATGTTTTTGTTCCCCTTTTTTTCAATAAAAGCTTAGTCTCCAAAAAGTTTCTATTTATTGTGTAATAATTCTTTCATCATTTTAAATTTTATTGTAAGAAATATGTTGTTGATCATAGTTGTCTTCTTCAGTACATGTGTGTGTATTAATGATGTGAATTATTATTTTGAGACTCAGCACAATGAATCTCTTTTTTTTCTGTTTCATGCCAATTTGTTATTAGTTCGGAACTTAATTGATTGATAAGGTCCGCATTATTCTATTTTATTCGGTTGGATTATTCAGTAAAATCTTCAGTTTGGTTTTTGTTTTTTTGGTATAAACCATTGGCGATTCAGTTACAGTTAAGGCTTTTCACCCACACGAGAGCTCTTTACACATGCCAAAGCTTAAAGCTCTTCGCCCTTCACTGCTGGTGAGTTTAGTGGAAATCGTAATTGAAAGCCTTTTTCACATGCCAAAGTTATTTTCACATACCCAGCCTGTGTTGCCAAAATATTCAGTTTGGTTTGATATCACAGTTCAATTATTTAGTTTCAATTTGATTTTTTGAAAATTTGGAATAATTCAATTATAAATTTCTGAAAAAAAAAAAACCTTAATTCAAACTAGAGAATTAAAAACCAAACTAACTCTATTTTAGTTGATTTCAATCAATTTTCTAGTTAAATTGATTCCTTTTAAAAAGTAATAGTTTGAATTATGGTTGTATTTGATTATTCATTTTTATTCGATCTGATTCATTTACTTCATTTTTAGGGTTTGATAATTTCGATTAAGGGAGATTAATTCGATTGAAATGAATGTTGAGTCATTATGTTGTGTATAAAAATGGCAAAATGCATTATTATACCCTGTACTTTACGAAAAAAACTTTATGGCATCTCAAATTTTGCAAGTGACTTATTATGCTTCAGAAAATATGAATTTTGCTAACATTGTATTTTTCTTTATACTAGGGATAATATTTTTTGGTGTTTTTGATATTGATGTGCAAGATATTCACTTAATATGTGGTTAGTATAATGTTTGAAATACTGATTTTTATATTTTTCAACCATCTAATAAATGTGCAATTGATTTAATTTTAGAAGTTTGAATACTCAATAGAATAAATTTTTACAAGTTGAAGTATTTAATTGATACAATTTTATAAATTGAAGTGCTTAATTGTTCAAAGTAAAAATTGAGGTGCCACCAGATTTTTTTATGTAAAGTATATGGCTGAATTTATGCATTAGGTCATATAGAAATTAGGGATGTGCACGAGACTGCGGGAATTCCAATCCGTTGCCGAAAACCGTCCCGAATTTTGCATCCCAAAAAAAACTCGATATTAATTTCATAGACTCATCCCGAAAGTATTTATATGGAACGAGACTAGTTCTCTGATTAAAATCGACTCATACTGATCTAAGTTCTGTCTCATCCTATCCCAGCCCGAAAATTAGGAATTACTGTCTCATTTTTTCTTTAAAATTTTAATTGTCTTTTTTGTATGAATTTCAAATTATGACCCTAAAAATCATTTCATCCTTTTTACTTTAGTTTTTTTTAATACAAATTACTATTAAAGTAATAATAATATGAAAAAACAATATGCATTTTTTTTAAATATAAAATAAATCAAGTAATTAAACATAATTTTCAACATAGATTTTTCCTCTGTTATTCTACGTTATGTGTTCAATAAATCTTTTTTAATAATTTTTTTTCTATTAAACAAAAAATGAAAGATTAATCAATACAAGAGAAAATATTAACTTCAATTAATTTGATTGTTGGATTATTGATTATGCTTAATGCAATCATTATTTATTTTTTAAATGATATTCAAGATTAAATTACGTAAATATCGAATTTAAATCAACTTAAAAACAATAGTAACAAAAATAATGACGAGTTAAAGTTCAAAAATACATATAAAGTTAAATTGTATATAATTTTTGCAATTATTTTACTTTATTATATTTAACGCTTTTGTTAATTAGAAAATAACTGCATAAAAATCTTCTATTATAACTTTAGCAGTAGATAATTAATGATTAAATTAATTATTTGATTTATTTTTTTTAAACTCAAACTTATATAAATGAAATTTGTTTAATTGTAACACATAAATATAACAATTTTTTTAATCTTTTTTTAATATAAAAACACATAAATATAACAATTTTTTTAATCTAAACTTATATTAAATGAAATTTGTTTAATTGTAACACATAAATATAACAATTTTTTTAATCTTTTAATATAAAAACACATAAATATAACAATTTTTTTAATCTTTTTTTAATAGAAAATTTAATTTAGCAAGGAATACAAAGAAAATTCCTATAACAATTTTTTTAATCTTTTTTTAATAGAAAATAATTTAGCAAGAATACAGAAAATTTCAATTGATTTTTGACTCGATCCATTTCCTTTTGTTCTATAAATATGAATTTGTGTCCCGTCCCGTCCCATTTTCGAGACGGAATTGAGGCTCTAATTTTTACGTCCCAAGTGTTTGGATGGGACCGGAAATTATCCCAACCCAACCCGTCAACTATGTAATATAATATATTAAAAACATATATAATATATAATGCAGATAATCAAATAAAATAACATTTGAATTTCTTATTAGTTAAAATTTATTTTATTTTTCCTTCCAAAAAAAAAAATCTTATTTGTTCGTAAAAATATTATTTTATTTGTCAGTTGGAATTCAATTCTCAATTAATTATTTAGCTTTTGAAATTCTCATTTCTACTTCCCAAATGAGTTATCGACTGTAACACACTGTAAGAGAGAAAGGCAGACAGAAGATATGACGATAGAAGAGGGGGCCGGCCCCGCCGGACCAAAGGTTCTCCGATTGCTTTATTTCGTCGGCGCCGGATGTAAGTGCAGATCTGATTTTGTTTGATTTTAGCAATTCGATGCTCGGATGAAAAAGGCATTTATTTTTATTAAAAATGTCACAGTTATCTGCACAATAGCTATCAACAAATGGAGAGAAATTGAAAAGAAATCACTCCAAAAACAACAACAACAATCTCACCTCCAGCCCAATTTGTTGTCTCAGACCTCTCCAAATGCCATCCAAAAACCCTCCAAATGATCTCTCAGGTATTTCCTCTCTCTCTCTCTCTCTCTCTCTCTCTCTCTTTTAATTTTTAGTTTTTAGGGTTTCAGAATTTTGCTGTAAGTGATCGCTATAGCAACATTTTTAGCATAGATTTCAGAATCTGTTAAATTGGTTTTTTATTTGATGATCAAGTTGTGCCAATTTGGGTGAATTGTGTACCAGTTAAAGTTTTAATGATAAAATTTTCATTTCTATAAATTTACAAGTAGGTCAAGTTTTGATAGGGACTGCTATATCTCTTGGAGCGAACTCTAAGTGAACTCTAAGTGAATATGAAGCGCATAAAAAGCTGTTAATAATCAGTTCAAGCTTCATTTCTTTTTCCTTCCTTTTTTTGGGTATTCTGAGGACAGAAGGCAAGAACTTGAATGCAAAAAATGCAAAAACCTTTAGTGTTTACTTAAAGTAAGAGTATTTCATGAAGTTTTTAATAAAGGCTATGTTTTTATGTTGCTTTGATTTGCTTTTCCTTTTCAGACTGAAAATTGATACATTTATTATATATAGTTTCTTTATTATGATTTTTCTTTTATAAGAAGATCTTTATTTTTTAAAAATTATTTTTGGAAGGTAGAAAGTTGAACTAAAGTGTCCCGTAATGCTGCATTATCTGCAATAATCATTTGAACTCTAGATGCTGAACATATGGCTTAAGCGAAAATGTTATCTGCCTATTCAGGAGACCATTTCCCTGCGAATTGCATGATATCTAAGGATATCCATAGCAGAGCATCTTATGAATTTGATAAATAAGACCTATCGATTTCCATCATCAATTTGGAAAAAGCCAAGTGATAGGCATGCATTTTTCACCAAGTAGTAGTGTAGCTATAATCGTAATTTAATTAAACAGTTAAGGTTGAAGTTGTGAATGTTAGAGTTTCAAAATTGCCTTCTTAGATCATAAGGACAATCAGGACTTGTAATTTTTGACCAAAATTTAAGGGGCTAAAATATCCTTTTGGACCAACAGATGATAGACCTTTTGAATTTGATTTTTGTAAACCTAAAGTTTATTTTGGAAAGTTTCAAACATGAGCATTTTTTTCACAAAATCAGCTATAAGCTCATAAAAGATAAATGGTTAGCATCTATTTATTGGGTCAAAAGGATTCCTTCGCACTTTTGATTGTATAATTTATATTAGCAACAGCAACGCAAATTATCACCTCTTGACCAGATACACTGCTGAGCCACTTTACCCTTATCAACGTTACTCTCATTGCAGAACTTATGTTTAATATTAAGGGGTATTAAGGGTCCATTTACATGTATAGAACTGTGATTTAATTAGGATATCAGATGTGCTTTTAATAGAAATGTGCTTGGTGCCATCTAGAGATGGTCTAGATCACTTGGAGTTTATATTTCATTTTCACTGCCATACTACAGCTTCAGCGGGCATTGACTATGAATTCTCAACATATTGTTTTGCCTTTCAGATTTTTTTTAAAACAATGTTTTTTGTTATTTATATTATACAGTATAAGCTTGCTTTCATTTAAATGTCCTTAAGGGAACTTTTTTCTTGCTATGTGAAGTTTTGTTACTCTCATCCATTTTTCTTTCACTCCTTTCCCCCAACTTAGCTCACTTGCAGCACAGTAGAGAGAAAACTCTCTCTCTCCCCCCTCCTCTCTCTCATTTATGTGGGTTTGGCTTGTTGGATTGCTATTGGATGTAGAGTCAAGTCTGAGAGTCTGTTGCACAAAGAGAGTATAATTTTCTTGTTTTAGTTTGGTGTTTGTTCTCTTAAAACGCTCAGATGATCAAGAATCTATATTTGCTGTAAGTGTTTTCTGTAGTAAATAAGAGAGAATTGATTTTATGCATTCAGAATCAATCTTGCCTTATAAGTAAACATTTTTGGTTGTTAATACTTAATAGGTTGCTGGCTCACAAGTTCAGTTTCTACTTTGTGGGTAGAATTTAAGATGTTTATTGCCTTTCCTTCCCTTCAATTGTTACATATCTGTTGCATTCTAGTGGCTAAAAACTATAAAAGGTAAATGCTGAATATTAAAAAATAACTAGTTACTTGGAAACTTATATTTCTCTTTCTGCAGTATGTTCTGAAAATTCCTTGCAATTATTTGGTGATATGTATTCTTTTTATGCTAGTCATTTTGCAGTGATAGGATAGAGATAGTAGCACAATCCATGATGTTGAAGGTCGCATTTGAGAAATTTTCTTAAAAGATCCATTCCTTAAAGCAACCACGGTGGTACATCAATGGATTGAATTATTTTTCCTTGTTCTAATATATATTATATATTACAGTTTATGTGATATTATCTTTTGAATTTAATTATTTATTGGATCATCTTTTATTTTTTCGCTAATGATGTCTTTTCCTTTCCTTCTTTTGTTTTCTCTATATTTGTTGTTAATTTTTTGTTATCGGTGATTTGGTATAACTCTAGTTCTAGATGACTGTAAGATTAATATTATTAATTTTAATTGATGTTATACGTTTTCTTCTTTCATGGGAATTTTATTAGTATTGAATAGGAATTGAAAATGCATTTGTTTTTTCTTTTAGATGGAAAAGGAGAATTCTTCCTGTCCATTAAAATAAAATATAAAATTTTATAAATCATACATAACATACTTGGAGCTAGCATAAAAAATGATAACCTTGGAGTGAAAATACATTCAACTAATTAGTTACGATAGCATCCATAAGTTCATTATGGTTTCGTTATACTTTCTTTGTTCCATTAAAAATGATATAATTTTTTTTGTTTCATTTTATCTATTACTCTCGAGGAGTATTAGCTATTCATCATTCATTAAGAATTAATTATTTAGAGGATTCAAAAAAAGGGTATTTCAGTCACTATAACTATTCTTTTTTAAATTTTAGGTAGTTTAATGATTTCCTTAATTTTTATATAATTTGAAATCATACCATTATTAATAGTATTGTTTCTTAGGGAATCATTTACCTGAACCGGGTTTAAGAGCTTACTTATAGATTAGATCTAGACAAATATAATCTTTATTTCTAAATTTGAGGTAGCTTAATGATTTTATTAGTTTTGCTAATTTAATTATTTTCTTATTTTTTTATGTTATTTGATATTATACCACTATTAATAGTATAAAAGTTTATAATATTCTATCATCATTAATAAAATATTGATAATGATGATTGACTAATAAGAAGCATATTAAATAAAGGTAAGATAGTAAATGTCAAATATTATTTACTTCTAAAAAGGAGATAAGATAATAATTTGGGAAAGATGAAAAAAAAAAAATGATAGACATGAATTATGAGATGAAAGAGACTATTTAATTACCATTCATATGCTAATATGCAAGGCACTGCCAACCAACTTATTACTTATTACTTTTAAATCGATCACTATACTTAGGACTATAAACGAGTCGAGTTGAGCTTTGGTGAGCTCGAGCTTGCCTCAGACAAAGATATATTTGAGCCAAGCTTTGGTGAGCTCGAGCTTGGCTCGATAAAGATATTATTCGAGCCGAGCTTTGCTTGATAATCATAAACAAGCTGACTCGAGTTTGAAATCTATCAAAACCAAAACGACGTCATTTTAACACAGGTTTTAATTGATTTTGGCTTGTTAAGCTAGCTTGTGAGTTCGACTCGGCTCGATAAGACTAGCTCGAGAGCTCGGCTCGATAAGACTAATTCGAGAGCTCGGCTTGATAAGGCTGGCTTACGAGCTAATGACTTGAATTCGAACTTGACTCAACAAGCTTATCGAATGACATGAGCTTTTACCGAGTCAAACCTTAAGTTGTTCACAAGCAGCTTGTTTCATTTACAGTCCTAACCATACTGCACTATTATACATTACTATTTGGCCATATGTATAAATTTATATCTGTGCTTTTTAAAAAAAAACCCTTAAGGCATTTTAAATTTTGTAGGGATTTTTATTATATCTTAAAGCTAAGAATTTTCGTAACATTGCACACTTATCCACATTAATAATAATAATTTTGGTATCACATTCGTATTTCAAATATTTAATATAATTATTAAATGGATTGTGTTACATGTTAGATGATGCAAAATATTGTCTCTAAAGCACACAGAAGCTTAGGAAGTGAATTGGAGCAAATTCTAAAAATGTTTCCAAACATGGAAGATGGTGTCAAATTGCAAGAAAATGGTGTCAATACTGATTCTAGAGCTGTTCAAGACATTTCCAAGCAAACCAAGTCAGATTTGGATGGTGTTCCAGATATGAGAGTTTTATCGGGTCCAGTCACAAGATCGCGAGCCAAGCATCTAAGAGAGCAACTTCAACTTTTTGTGCAAAATTGGGTTGAAAATGGCTGCCCAATGTAAGGAAGTACATACATGGTAACTTGGAGGATGCTAAACATGTTAATCATATTGGACTTAAAAAACAAATAGTTTTGTGAACTTGGGCTTTTGGGCTTGTGTGTATCTTATTGGGATGTAAATTTGTCCATCTATATGAGTTTGGGTTTATTTTATTTAAGTTTGCGTATTAGTGTTTTAGACTCTATTTGGGCTTCTTTTGCTTTGTTAGGAGCTTGGCCCATTTGCTTTTGTCCAAAGTCTTTTGGTTTTCCTCTTTTTGATGTTAAACACTTATTCAAAGGCTATCATTATCATCTTTGGAAGATTGAATTTTGGATGATTTCAGATTAATGAAAGTGAGGTTTATGTCCATCTTTGGTTTTCCTCTTTTTGATGTTAAACACTTATTCAAAGGCTATCATTATCATCTTTGGAAGATTGAATTTTGGATGATTTCAGATTAATGAAAGTGAGGTTTATGCATTCTTTCATCTTTATGCACAAGGTGTTGTTTGGATTGTAATTGATTTGTTCAATTGCTATTCAGATTCAATTCCTATTTCTTCTGTTTTTGAACATCTAATTCAAATTGGGATTAAAGGGAATATACTGAGATTTTCTCTTTAATTTCTTTTGAGTTGAGTTCTTAGGTATAAGAACAAATTAAAAGTATGATTGTTTAGTGATTAATTTTGCTGGTTCAAATTGAGGGAGAGTTCTAAGTTCCATGCTAATCTTGGGGTTCCCTATCATTTGGTATGAGAGCATTGGTTTGCCAAGTAATTTTTCTATCCTTTATCTACTATTAATATAGCTTACTGGCTGTTCTTTGTTTTCTTAAGCTGTCTAAAACTAATTTGAATATAAAAAAACTCAGATTTGGTTTAATTAGCTCATCTTGCACAAATATGCGTATCTCTTTGTTTTAGTTTGTATAACTTAGGGAAATCCATTCCTAAATTATACAAACACATCTGCATTAGTATAGTTATAAAAAAATGAAATTTTATAGATAAACAGATTGTACATGCATAAAATTAAGTTGAGATTATTTTTTTTACTTGATTATCATCAAATATCATCAAAAAGTTTTTTTTTTAAAAAAAAAAACTAAAACAATAAGGAAACCTGAAATTTAGGGCTATTAGTTTGCTTTAATTTCAATTTAAATTGCTAGGCTGTTTATGAGTTTTAAGACTGTTTGGGTTCAACTCACTTCAATTGAGTTGAGATTTATTCAAAACCATATCCTTTTTGTTAATTGAGTGTTTTGTTTGAGATGAGAATTTCAGATTCTATTTGAGAATTTCAAGTTTCTTTCATCAATTTCCAGATTTGTCATTTACTTGTATCCATTAGTTTTTTTTTTCTTTGTATATGTCGTATTGCATCTAATTATCTGTCATATTGCATTAGTTTAAATTTGACTCTTTGCTACCTATTTGAACAAAAATTGAACATATGCTTTATTTCCTTTAAGCGTGTATTGTTCGCTTATTTGCTGGAGTTTTATTTGCTTCTAGTGTTTGAGTGCCCACCCTTGTTGCTAGGATTTCCTTGTAGATTCTACATTGAAATTGAATGCATTTGGTTACATTGATCGCTATTTGAACTAACCCTTCTGTATAAAGCCAAAAAGAGAGCTTGAGTGGCAAAAGGCAAGAGTGTGTTAGCTTAAAAGAGGGTAAAAGCCAAAATTTTGAGTGAAAAATGAGTGTCCATATTACGAGAGTAAACACATAAGGGAGTGTTTTGTGAGGATTTGAAATATGTTTTGTTTATTGTTAAATTATAGATTTGCAAATGCATCCACAAGAGAGCAGCGATGGTTCGAAGGACCAAGAGTTCATCATTAAAGCAATGCAACAACAATTTGAGAGAATACAATTGGCTATTAGGAATATGAATGAGAAGTTGGAGAAGCAATAGAATGACATCAACTCCATATGTGGAGGGGCTGCCTAAACTAATCCAAGGGCAAGGAGGATGCCTACACCACTATTTGATGATGATTTGGAGGAAGATTTTGATGACCAAGCTACTATGGTTAATCAAGGACGCCATTTTGGTGGAGGTAGATTTGATCTTGATAGAAATATTGCGACTATTAAAATGAGGATTCCAAGATTTCTAGCCAAGAATGATCTAGATGCTTACTTGGAGTGGGAGCATAAGGTAGAGCTTATATTCGAATGTCATAATTATTCGGAAGAGAAGAAGATTAAGCTAGCTGCTGTTGAGTTTGGGAAATATGCTATTGTGTGGTGGGATTAGCTCACTACAAGTAGAAGATGGAATGGTGAGAGTCATATCTCTACCTAGGCTGAAATGAAAGCTGCTATGAGAAGACGCTTTGTAGTCACTATTACAGGGATTTGCACTATAGATTGCAAGGACTTGTACAAGGGAACAAAAGTGTTAAGGATTACCATAAGGAGATGGAAGTTATGATTCGAGCTAACGTAGAGGAGGATAGAGAGGCAACAATGGCTCGATTTCTTAATGGGCTCAGTAAGGATATTGCCAATGTAGTAGAGTTACACCACTATGTTGAGATGGAGGATCTAGTTCATATGGCTATAAAGGTAGAAAGATAGTTGAAGAGATAAGGGCGTGCAAGATAGCCTAACATATATTCCACCTCAAATTCCTCTTGGATGCAGAATTAGAGAAATGATAACAAGGCTGCCTAGTTTTAAAAGAATGACAACAATGCTGCCCCATGGAAGAATGATAATAAAAGCAAGAAATAGAGATATTAAGTGTTTCTGATGTTTAGGTTATAGTCACATAGCATCTTAGTGTCCAAATAAATGAGTTGTGGTGTTGCCAGGAGATGATATGGAGACTGATGATGAGGATTAGAGAAATGATAACAAGGCTGCCTAGTTTTAAAAGAATGACAACAATGCTGCCCCATGGAAGAATGATAATAAAAGCAAGAAATAGAGATATTAAGTGTTTCTGATGTTTAGGTTATAGTCACATAGCATCTTAGTGTCCAAATAAATGAGTTGTGGTGTTGCCAGGAGA